GCGTGACATTGTATCCGCGACGATATTTTCATCACCTTTAATGTGTTGAATGTCGGTGGTGAATTCGGATATGAATGTCAACTGGTTGAGTTGCGTAGGAGGTATCTTTTCTCTCCGTTGGGTGAAAGCATATACGAGTGGCTTATGATCGGTGAAAATGGTACATGGTTGTGCTTCGACAATGTGCCTGAAATACTTCACCGATTCATAGATGGCAAGCAACTCACGATAATACGCAGGCCACGCACTTTGTTTCACCGACATTTTCTTTGAAAAAAATGCTATGGGTTGCCAGATGTTATTGACTCGCTGCTGCAGACATGCGCCGATAGATTGGCTAGATGCGTCTGTGAATAGTCCAAGTCGTGCGGCTGGATGAGGATGTGCTAAAAGAGTAGCGGTCGCAAGACTTTCTTTGCATGTGGTGAACGCTTTTTCTAACTCGGGAGTCCATTCTATCGGTTGGGAACCTTTTGTCTTCGGGCCTTTGAGAATACCGTGAAGTGGTGCTTGCAGGTCGGCAGCTTTGGGAATAAACCGGCGATAAAAATTTACCATTCCCAAAAACCGGCGTAATCCTTGCATAGATTTTGGCAATGGATACTGTCGTAGGGCTTCGACGCGTTCCGGTGGCGGGCGGGTGCCTTCAGAAGATACTAGGTAACCTAGAAATTTCACCTCAGCCGAACCTAATACACATTTTTGCGGGTTAACGACAACACCGTAGTCAGAAAGTCTCCCGAAAAGAGTGCGTAAATGCTGTTTGTGGTCCTCTTCCGATTTAGAGAATACCAAAATGTCATCAATATATGCATAACAGAAGTCCAACCCATTGGTAACTTCGTCTATGAAGCGTTGAAAAGTTTGTCCAGCATTTCGCAATCCGAATGTCATAAAAGGAAATTCGTAAAGTCCGAATGGAGTGGTAATGGCTGTTTTGCATATATCGTCCGGATTAACAGGTATTTGATGGTAAGCCTTTACCAGATCGATTGTGGAAAATAGCGTGCAATTAGCCAGGTTGTGCGAGAAATCATGTATGTGTCTGACTGGATAGGAGTCTGGTATAGTTCGGGCGTTCAGCGCGCGGTAATCACCGCAAGGACGCCAGCTGTTCTCCCCTTTCGGTGCTAAATGTAATGGTGAAGACCACGGACTGCTTGAAGGTCTAGCGGTACCTGCCTTGACCATTTCCGCGAATTCCTGTTTGGCGATTTTTAGTCTACCTGGAGCTAAGCGGCGTGGGCGGCAGGCTATTGGCTGACCAGGTGTCGTAAGAATGTGGTGCACTGTTTGATGTTTTATTGTCCTGGGCAATCCGGTGGGACGTGTGATGTCCGGAAATTCTGCGAGAAGTGCAGCCCAAGGGGAAGTGTTGGCAACTGATTTTATGCTGCATTGATTTACAGAGGAAACCTTACCATTCACAGCCAAGCCTGTGACACCATCAATAAGACGTTTGGTACGGCAATCCGGCAGCAAGTGGTAGTATGCCATGAAGTCGGAACCAATGATAGGAGTACTCACGTCGGCGACAATAAAACTCCACGGGAAACTGCGTCGAAGTCCTAAATTCAAATTGAGATGGACCGTCCCGTAAGTTTTTATGGTACTGTTGTTGGCCGCGCTGAGGTCGTAATCGGTGGCATGGCGTCGTTCCCGTAGTAGCCGTCGAGGGTAACAAGATAAGTCGGAACCGGAGTCGACTAAAAATTGGCGTTTTGTTATTTGATCTGTAACAAACAAGCGGCTGCTCGGGTTCGGACAGTCTGTTGCCACCGCTACTGACTGTCGTTGGAGTTTTTCCTGATACTTGCAGGGAGCCTTACATTTGGCAGCCTTTTCTCCATAAGTGCTATGATACCAACACCATCCTTTGCCGTTAGTCAGTTCCACGTTTGAACGGTTACGT